GCGTGGGGAGGAAAGGGCTCCGCGTGGGAGCCGGGGGCCAGATCACGCCCTCATCTGCCCTCCTCCCCTGTGCCCTCTCCCCCGACCCCCCGCCCTGAGCAGGGGTCGGAGTCTGGGCTTTTGGCGCCTGGAGGTCTCGGGACACGGGATGGGGCCCCGGGACATCTCGGCCTTGAAGGAAGGCGGCTGCCGGTCGGCCGGGCACCTCCCCTTTCTTCTCCCTCCCTCTCTCGGGAGGGCACTGCCATCACCTGGGGAGCCGCCGCCTGTAAACCTTGGGGTCAGATGGGAAGCAGGCTCTGGAATGGGAAGACATGGTTTTGCCTGAGTCTGCGATGAGACAGGATCGCTCTCCTCCCGGCACCCCAGGCTGGAGGCCCTGGAGTCGGGGGCGGGTTCTCTATGCGGCCTGGGGACCCAGTGGGAGGAGGTGAAGGGCAAAGCCCGCTGGCCCCAGTTCTGATCCACACAATGGCTCCTCTGTCCTTGGCGCCTCTCCCCCTGCCCCCTCACTCCCACTCCGCTCTGCCCCCTCATTCTTGTCATTCACCTCCCCCCTCCCAGGCTGCCTCTCTCAAGAGCTGTCTCATCTCTGGGAACTCACCCATCAGCATCTCTGGCCCAAGGGACAGGGTTGGGCAGGAGCGACATGCTCTTCCCCTTGTGACAATGGGGAACCGAAACCCGAGAGTTGAGGGGCCGTGTCCAGGCTGCCAGACCAGTTGTCAGCAGCCCGAGCAGCTCCGCCAGGAGTTCTGGCCGCAGCTCAGAGGCCGAGCTGCCCAGTTCCTCCCTGATGCTTGAGTGGCCTTCAGCCTGTGGGGTGCTTTCCACGGAGCTGCCCCGGGACCCAGCTGCTCCGTCTCCCCGGGAAAGAGGGAGCACAGCCACTCCAGGCTCCATCCGTCTCCCGGTCTCCCAGGTCCTGATGAAGCAACTGGCCGCTGTGCCCAGCACGGGCCGGGCATCAGTGTGATCTGACCTGATGGCCAGCCCAGAGCTTGGCGCGCAGGTAATACCGGTCTCACCGGTGAAAGAAACTGCCTTTCCATTTCCCCAGCCAACGCCCCCCCATTCCTGCTCCTGGGCAGCCTCCCCAGGGAGACACACCTGAGCACCCCCTTTTTTCTTCTCCTGTTAAAGAAAGCAGGCTTTCACGGTGCCTCGCCCCAGCTCTCTGGCAGCTCGGAGCCAAGGCTGCCAGGTGGCAGAGACTGGCTTTTGTTAGGCGAGGATTCCTGCCATCTCTCCCTTCCCCGAAGCGACCAGCTACCTCCCTTGACCTCCAGTCCTTTCTGCCCAGGAGGCCGCAAGGGCAAGGGAAGGGGCGCGGCCGCCCGCAAACTCCTTTAAGACTTGGTTTCTAGGACAGCCCCAGAGGTGACTCACCACTCAGCGCTTCCCAGATGCTGGCGGCTGCTCCGGGCCGGGCTGGTGGGGCGGCCGGGCCCTCGGGACTCTGAGCTGCTTGCAGAGTGCGTGGTGGGTGAGCTTAGCTCTACTCTTTGTTAACGTGGGTGTCCATGCTGAGGCTGGAACCCAGGTCTCTTACCTGCCTGTGGCCTCTGCCTCCCACAGGCCCGCATGCACCTCGCCCGCCCGCTCTCACCTGCAGGCCAGCTCACCCTGGCAGGGGTCGGGGCAGGTCCCATCCCCGCGCCCTCTCAGTGCGAAAGCCCTGAAGGCCGCCCGTTCTGCTCATTCCAGCTGCCTGCCCCGCATCTGTCTCAGGCAGTTGTACCCAGGTCATGACCAAGTACCACAAACGGTGCCTCCACAGGCGTTTACTGTCTCAGTCCACAGGCCAGAAGTCTGAGATCGAGGTGTGGGCAGGCCGGTGCCTTCCGAGGCTGCGAGGGGCGTCTGCCCCGGGCCTCTCCCCGGCTTCTGGTGGTTGCCGGCAATCTTCGGGGTTCCGTGGCTGTCGATGCGTCCCCTGATCTCTGCCTTCATCGTGTGGCCTTCTCCCTGCACGAGCTGGCTGAGATGTGTTCTTTTAAGGCAGCGGTTCTCAACCTGTGGGTCGCGACCCCTTTGGCGGTTGAACGACCCTTTCACAGGGGTCGCCTAAGACCACCCTGCATATCAGATATGTACATGACGATTCATAACAGTAGCAACATGACAGTTATGAAGTAGCAACGAAAGTAATTTTATGGTTGGGTCACAACATGAGGAACTGTATTTAAAGGGCCAGAAGATTGAGAACTGAAGGGCACAGTTACGGTGTTTTGGCCAGGTTCAAGCCTCGGACGAATGAAAGGACAGGGTCCTCTCATCGCCACGTGCAAGCCCCAGCTGGAAGGGCAGGGCCCTCCCAGCACAATTATAGCCAACGGCTGTGGTTGTGAGCTTGAACCTATGGTCCGAACACGTGGCCCCACGTGCCTTGTGCTAGAGTTCAGGTGCATGTAGTTGAGTGAGGTTGGAACTCACGAGAATGCTGTAAACAACGTGATCACGCCCCTACTTTGCCTCGTGGCATCTGCTATAAAATAAAGACACGGCTTGTGGGCGCTGGTGCTGTCTCCTCATCAGGGAGCAGCGTCCCACCGAGACCCAGCTTTCATTCTCTT